TTCTTCGACGGCTTCTTCTTCTTCATCATCTTCTCAAAGAAAGACAAATATCCAAAGTCCTCCGCCCACCGCAAAGTCACGTATTTTGAGTTCATTACATCTAAGACAGTTCCATCAAATACAGAAGCTGGATAGGTCGTCATAGCCTCATATTCCACAGCAAACTCAGGATTTTTCTTATTTCTTTTTCCCAGACACTTTAGTCGGTTCATTGCTTGCATTGGGTTACCATCTAGTTGCCCCAACTTTTTTTCCAAGGAAGTGCGACTTGATAGCGACCATTGAAGAAGGCAATGTCCTGTTCGAACCTTTCTTTTACCGTATTTTTTTGTTTGGTTGGAGTGTTGTCGGCTGGCATGATTCCGATGTTCTCCAAGTCCCAGAACCTCCGTAGAATCTTGTCAGTAGAGTCAGCAGACCTACTTAGTCGCAAAACACATACGTTGAGAGCTGATTCCAAAGTGGTGTAAAAAAAAAGTGGCACTTGCAACATTCATCCAATGACAGAACCCATCGCCACCAAGCTGTTCTGTCCATGGCATCGCTTCGTCACTACCGACATGAATTTCCCAAGCTGATCAGCATCGATTGAAAGGCTTATTCCTGGAACTGCAGCCATGCCACTTATCACCAACTTGTCAGCAAGGAGATGGCCTTCGATTTCGACGTCTCTGACAAAGTCATGGTCGACTGGTACTTGCACAACATCCTTGCAGACGAATGGTACTTCTATGGCGGTTAACAGGTACTCCTTGGTGTCATACTGACTGTGAAGTTTTAGTTCGACGACACGATGTTGTTTCAGAACGAAGCTTGTCTGTCCAAATACATTTAGCTGTAGATTGACCGATCCAAGTTCTTTTAATCCAAGTGTCTTGGATACATCTTCACAAATAAATGTACGCTGGCTTTGGCTGTCCACAATGCCACGAATATAGGCCTTTTGTGTTTTCCCTATGACCCATGCCCTAAATGTTTGCAATAAGACATCAGAGTCCATGTACGAAGGAGAGCTGGAGAGCTGTTCGCAGTTAAGGAGCCTTCGTGTTCTTTCTTCTTAGGTCTCCACTGAAGAAACGTGCCTACCTCCGCATATTCTGCACTTGACTTTTTTGTAGCAGTTCTTGGCTAGATGCCCTCTTACGGTGCATCGATAACATCACTTCTCGGCAGCCAATTTATTCAACTTTTGTTCATGGGTAATACTGCTGTCACAAACTGAAGCTGCGTGCTTTGCAGACCCAGAAAACATACAGTCTTTATCCTTCGCTTTCGACAAAGACTGTGAGACCGCTGCTGTTAGTAGAGTAGCGTTCAAGTCCCCGTTTTCTTCGGGTAGACGGTTGCCTTTCTTTCCTTTAAATTCATGGGCTTCACTTCTTTCGCGGCTTTCAACTTTCACGCGAAGATACTTCAAGAGTTTTTGCAATTCCTTCTCGGCGGTGGCTGTCGATGATGAGTCATGCTGTTGTCCCGAGCCTGCATTGTTTGTCGTCGACGGTGGCGACCTTAGATTGACTTTTTTCGGTAATAACCAACGACGATGTCTGTTGGCAATGCCTTCAACAAAATATCCGTCATCATAGTTGCATAACTGGCAGGACTGACGTTTAATCCTTTCAGATCTCTGATGGGGCACTGCACATAATCCAACAGCTTTCAAAAATTTTAGACGTCTTCCGAAGAATCAACTTCTGGTAGAGCGCGCAGTCGGCGTAGATGGTCCTGTACAATACGCGGGTTATCTCCGAAACGACTTCTCAAAATCTCGATGGTATCGTCGTAGCACTCGGCTGTTGCTTGCAGCCCAGAAATCGTGGTGACCGCGTCCCCTTTCAGAAAAGTCATTAGATATTGAAACTTTTCTCCTTTTGTCAGGTTTTTGTTTTTCTCAACAGCGGTCCTAAACTACTCCAAAAACGAAGGTCAATGGTAGAGCTGTCCGTCAAATGTCTGCAGGTGGAGTGTGGGAAGCTTGATTTTCTTGCGCGGTGTGCGATCCTCGGGCGTCTGGGATGGCTTTGCAGGTAGGGACTGAGATGTCGTAGGACAATGGGTTTGACGCAATTGCCACTCCTGAGCCTTCAGCTGTCCCAGCATTTCTAGCGCAACATCTTGATATGTCAACACAGCTTCAAACTCTGTAGCGAACTCGTCCTCTGGTATAAGCTCTTCCTTCTCGGTGTTAACATTATCCAAATCTGCCTTGTTGTCTTGTGTCCATTTAATTAAAGATGAAATCTTTGCACTGTCAGCACTTTCCATCACGGCTTTGGCTTCATTGATGAGACGCATATTCATCTGTCGTCGTGCCGTTCGCTTCTTTTTCAGTGCTCTGACGCGATTCATCTTGCTTCAACAATGCGTGACCATGCTCACCTCAATCGATTGTTCTGTTTGCTGTCACGGGGAAAAGCAGCGGCATATCTCCCTTCAGAATTTTCTTTCTGGCTTTCTTCTGAGGTTGTCGCTGTCCTCCCGACGTGCTGTTTTCTGTTCGAAAGTTCCCGATGAGCACTGGTAGCATGTACTGTCCCGGTGAGTACTCCGGATGGGTTTCGGCACCACTTTGTGAAATAACTGGTCACAGCATTTGAAGAAACAAGACTATATTTACATTATTTACACAGAACAGTTGGAACAGTCCATGGAGGACGCTTTTTTCTTTTTCTCATATTTTTTGATAGTTCACGCGTTCTTTTCATCGGCTTCTTTTTCTTCATAATCTTCTCAAAGAAAGACAAATATTCAATAGCTACATCTATGCACAGCGGTGAGTGCATGACGGTTTGCTAAAACTGTCAAATACAACCTGTAGAGCTGCAACATTGCAGTAAACAAAGAGACCTAAAAGTCTTCAGCCTCTTTAAACAAAAAAGGCTCTGCTTGTGTGCTTCGTACCGCACCCCACTACCCTAGCTGAGCAAAGTCTGAAACTGAAGCTGTAGAAAGATCTGTGGACAGTTCACTAGCTAATGCTAGTGACCAGTCTGTATGGCACTTCATGGTTCATTCGAAAGAAACTTTGCCCTTTTCTGCCTTTGTTTTCGATAGCTGCAAGAAAAAGTCACTTTTGAAGGATACATCTTTGTAGATCTTTTGCATAACATCACCCTAATCTGTCAGGTGTGAACCCCAAACTTCTTGCTGGAGAATTGTCACAATGTTCATTAGCATCATTTGTAATTACCTTATTTATTCAACACGAGGTGGCAGCTTTTCATATCGTTCGTCATTTAGTCAGCCTATCAGTGAGACGTTCTGGTGTGCTAGTTGTTTCATAACTGTTAGAAGTTAATAAACTGTGTGAAAGGATAAGGGCTAAAGTAAGAAATATACCACTACGAGTGCAGACTGCCAACTGTCAGCAGTCCACACTCGTGGTCTTCTGCCTGTTTCTTACTCACGTCTTCCTTTTTCCTTGCACTTTGATGATGTCTAATTATCCATCATACACTCAGAATAATAATGTCTAATTATCCACAATTCACCCAGAACTACCTAATGTCATTCATGATTTAACCATCCCTGACCATCGTTTCATTGATATGTGAAAATATTAGCGATTATACTTGGCCCACACTAGTTGATGAATAACAAGTGCTAACCGCTGTTGCTAACAAGCAAGTGTGCACCTAACTGGGCTGGTTGGTACATGATTAGGGCGTAAACGAACAGGGCCGACAGTCAGAAAATGACACGAACTACCTCATAATATATACAAAAGCTCTGTGCAGAACGGCCACAAGAAGTGAGTCATCGTATCAAATGCATCAGCAAAACAGTCTTTCATATCTTTTACAAGTAACTGATTTCGCAGTCGTGTGGATGAATCATTGGAGCACTAACAAAGCATCACCTGGTGTATGAATATAGTAAGCTTAACTAATCTCACGTGCTCTTTGTCATCTGTACGTCTCGAAAGGGGTGCACCGCTCAAAATATGGCTGACAGCCAAATGCTTTGCTGTGCTGATTTAGGTGACTAAGAACAATTCTGTTATGTGTGTACGTATGCTCTTGTAGCCAGTAATTCAAGTTCAGTGCCTTCATCTTTTTAACTTCCTTCATTCTGTGCTCAGTGTTGTTTGTTCTCATCTAAAGCATGCAAGTAAACACAGTAGGCCGGAACCCTGGTTCTGGGGCGACTGCAGTGGCCCACGGTATCTCTGCACTTACTGTTTTTTTGTTATGCTCACTCATGTTCTTTTGTGAAGACATAGCCAAAGAATGGAGCCATTGTTAAGACAGAGTCAAGAACAATCTTCTTTTGGAAGAATGAACTCACCTGAATTGACCAGTAAAAGAAGGGCACAGGCAATCTCTCTTTTGCTGACCTTTATGTTATTTTTGTTTGAAGCTTCTCGTGCTAACTCACTCAACCACCCACCTTGTGGAATGAACTAAATCATTGCACATTGAAATGGCACTAAAGAGAAAAATGATTTTTTGCGTGTAAGGTCGTTACTCTTTTACAATTTTAAGATCACGATGCTTGCCACGAAAACACACTTGGTAAGCTAGGAAATGCACAAAAAGAAACTAATGGTAGTGATGCCACTTGGAAATTCTCACACGAAATACCATGATGTCGAATATTTCGATGGCGTCTACTATGTAGCTCCTAGTCAGTAAAAATTGTGTTCCTAAGGGGGCTATAGATTACGGACTTGACGCACAAAGCTTCATGAAATAACTTTGAGCCAATGTCCCAAAATTAATAAATATACACTTTGAAAAATGTGACACCATGAGTGGAAGTTTTGGCATAAAAAATGAAAATTGAACTTTGACCTCAGTTTTTTCCTCCAATAATTGACCTATAACAGTGAAAGTAATGATGGTAGAGTTCTCAAAGTGATATTTTTATCCGTATAAACGAGATAATTGTTTCTCTTTAGTGTTCCTTCTTTTAGTAGGTCCTGGGAAAAGAAGCCGGCTCGGTGATTGATTGAGCAGCCTTGTTGCTTGCGATGAAGTGCGGATGTGGTGTGCTTTCAGTGGGGCATGGTGCTGTTCAGGCGCCACTATATGATCACCTTGGAGGTGCCCTGTCGGGACAAGAGTTACCAGTGGCTGCTGCAGTGGATCACACAGCATGCCCGCCACACACAGCACCTAAGCGTCGAGACTACCTTCTCACAGCCAGAGGCTGGTGGCAGTGCGCGCACCTCCTTCGACTTCATTCCCAGCGTGGGCACACACTTCTTTGCGTGAGGCTTCCCTTTCCTTGTTTGTGTGTTTGTTGAGTGAACAGCTTCATTAGGTGTAGGTGCTATGCATTGTGTTAAGCTGCACAATGTACTTCACGAACACCTACAGGCTTGTGTGATTGTCACTGTTTTTTGTTTGAAGTGATGTTGAAGCGAATAGTGATTAGTATTGAAAAAATTCAAAGTGAATTCGGTGCAGGATTTAAGTAGTAGTAGGGTAGGGTGCAAGTCGCAAGTGATAAAACAAGCTCCATTTTAATATTTTCCAAGTTTATCCCACATACACTAGCACAAAATGCTTGTAAACCTCAAAAAAAGTCCAGGGTGGTTGCTTGCTGGGCTAGTTGGTTCATTTCAATGCATGCTACAGCATGTAAAACTACAAAGGACAATACAGTCTATACACACTACTCTGTCTGTGTCATCCTTTCTAGTTTCATGCGCTGTTACATTGGTTAAAAAAAAAAAAAAAAGAATCAGTTGGGGTCCCAGTGACGTACACACCTGATCGTGAAGTGTAGCTTTGCGGCAGTTCGTATTTTACTTCAAGTAGGTAGTTTCTTGGCACAGTGGCCTCATGTTCAAGTGAAACCACCTTTGCAGGTGTGTTACAATAGGTACAATACATCTAGCCATTGGTCAGGAATATACTACCAAGTTAAATAAATTGTAAATTTTTGTCAAAATGCATTGATATTCTGTAATACTCTTTCAAAGATTTGAAAAACCCAAATATTCTCGCAGGCCCATTTGGAATTGTGTGAAATGTTGCAAGATTACTCCACATGTTTATGTAAGGGTATTTATTGGCTCTGTGTGATGTGATAGTGTAGATGGTGAAAGCGCAACAATAGTGAAGGGCTGGTGACAAAGAGCGGCTTGATGGTGACAGTGATTGCAGTATGGTGGCTGACTTGTTCTATATGGCTTCAGATTATTGGACAAGCTGAGCTCACGCCACGTAGGGAGTCATAACTACCACAGTATGATGCAATCGCAATGCATGTGCTTACTATTTACATTCGGATCAACATCAGCCTGGCTATGTCCACTGCATGACAAGGGCCTCTCCCATGTTTTGCCAGTCAACTCGGTTCTATGCTTGCTGCTGCTGCTTCATACCCGCAAACTTCCTAAATCTCGTCTGCCCACCTAACTTTCTGTGTCTCCTTCACTTGCTTGACTTGTCTTGGAATACAGTCTATAATCCTTAAGGACCAGCGGTTATCTCGCCTTCGCACTATCTGCATAACCCATGACCATTGACCACGACCATGTGCTCAACTATCATGCCCTTAACACTCGTTTGTTCTCTGATATTGATTTGTGGGGTTTAACGTCCCAAAACCACCATATGATTATGAGAGACGCCGTAGTAGGGAACCACCCGGGGTTCTTTAACGTGCACCCAAATCTGAGTACACGGGCCTATAACATTTCCGCCTCCATCGGAAATGCAGCCGCCACAGCCGGGATTTGATCTCGCGACCTGCGGGTCAGCAACCGAGTACCTTAGCCACTAGACCACCGTGGCGGGGCTGTTCTCTGATTCACTCTGCTCTCTTCTGCAAGTCATAACTTGAGACTGCTTGCCGAATGTGCTCCACCGCCGAATGTGATCCACCCCATTCTTCTTCTTCTAGTTATTTCAATCTCATGGTTCGGCTCTAAGATTGCTACCTGTTCTTTGTAGACATATTTCTTTACAATTTCCAGCATCTCTCCGCCTATCGCAAAGCGTTGTTTTCTGCCGAGACTGTTGCATATTACTTTAGTTTTATGCATTTTTATTTCCAGACCTACTGTTCTGCTTTCCGTGTCCAGTTTAGTAATCATGAGCTGTAATTCATTCCCTGAGTTACTCATCAAGGCATTGTCATCAGTGAATCGCAGCTTACTAAGATATTCTTCCTTAACTCTTATCTCTAACTCTTCCCAATCTAGGGCCCTGCAGCACAAGCACAAAAGTGCGGAAAGGCAAGGAACGGAAGGCAAATAGTGACAACATGAGTGCTGGCTACCAACTGAATTTATTTTAGATGCGAAGCAGCTCTTTGGCTAGCCTGTGTAACGGTGTCCCTCCGTACAAACGCACCGCGCCCCAAGTGGTGGAGTGATACCAAGTAGGTCACGCCACTGCTGCGCGTTGACGTCACGCACCCCTCACAGTGCACACTGATGTCACTCTCTTCCTCGCCGCGGCACCCGCAGCTGCCACCTCATCCGTTCACCCCCAACACCTGCTGCGACCACTGCTCGCTACACCGCTGAATCGTCGGTTCACTAGCAGTAAACCTGATGCGTGCCTAACGTGCCCATTGAGACATGTCTGTATGTGTCCCCTACAAGCTTGTTTTAAGTGGTTTTAAAACGCACGGTGTGAAGTTCCCTAACAGGTATCCTTGAGCATTTCTTGGATATTAATATCATAACATTCCCAATTCACGGTTACTGGAAAACGAACCACGAAGTTTATTTATTTGCTTATTTAAATACTCTCTATGCCATTTGTGGCGTTACAGAGAGGAGTGGTGTTACAAGTCAGCAATAGCAGTCTTGAATGATGCATGATTAGGGTTGTGGGAAATGTAGGCAGGAAGGTGTGTACACACAGACGAAGTGTTAACTCTTTCGTTACCATGCGAAAATGATTATTTTTCATACGTCCTGGGAAGATCGTTTTTGCCAGTTTGAAAAGCACTTCAGCGCGCATTGCCGTGTACCAAGCTTTGCACAAAGAAATGTTCCTTTCAAAAAATATTTGTTGTACAGCGACAAAAATATTTTAAAATGAATGAAAATGTGAAAAATGTGGAATTTTGGTCGCTAGCTCATGAACAACAATAAAAAACACTATATTGTCGCGGTACAACGCGAACAAAGCTGTTGCACAGTTCTCTGTGCCAACTGATAAAAAGGCTGTCAGACGCTTTCTCGGCCTTTGTGCATATTATCGATGATTTATCGCGGACTTTGCATGCACTGCATCGCCGTTAACTCGCCTCACGAGAGAAGATGTCACCTGAAGATGTCACCTTTGAGTGGAAGAACGAAGAAGCTGCTTTTAACGATCTTTGCCAGCAACTACAAACACCTCTAGTACTTGCCCACTTTGGCGAGAGAGTCCTTACGGTGCTTCACACCGATGCTAGCAATGTAGGTCTGGGAGCTGTGCTTGTGCAGCAGCAAGATGAAGCAGAAAGGGTAATCGCCTATGCTAGCGAAACGCTAACACGCGCTGAGGCTAATTGTTCCACGACTAAGAAGGAATGTCTTGTCGTGGTATGGGCGGTTACAAAATTTCGCCTGTATTTATATGGCCGCCCCTTCAAAGTAATTAGCGACCATCATTCACTGTGTTGGTTAACAAATCTTAAAAACTCTACCAGCCGATTAGTGCGTTGGAGTCTCAGGCTGCAAGAGTTCGATATGGTAGTGGTACATAAGTCAGGCAAGTGACATATAGACGCTGACTGTCTATCCCGTTCACCCATTGAGTCGGCAACCCTACCCGAGGAGGAGGAAACAGCATTTCTCAGTGTCCTTGGCACGACCACCATTGCGCAGCAACAACGTGACAACGCTGGGTTCCCTGACTTAATTAACTACTTGGATGGCAGATCTCAGAAAGTGCCAAGAGTTTTCGCAAGAGTGTTGTCATTGTTTTGTTTTTGGGGCGGAGTACTCTACAAAAAAATTTTTTTGTCAACGGGATCTGCCTATCTGTTCCTCATCCCAGCAGCCCTTCGCACCGAAGTACTGAAAGTATGCCACAACGAGGTTACCTCTGGCCACTTGGGTTACACGAGAACGTTGGCCAGGGTACAGCAAAGGTATTACTGGCCATGACTAACCACAGCTGTGAAGCACCACATTCGTACCTGTCTCGACCACCGACTAAACCAGCTGGCCTCCTGCAACCCGTGCAGGTTCCAACGACTCCATTCGGCCAGATCGGCATGGACATTTTGGGCCCACTATCTACTTCCACTGCAGGAAACCGCTGGGTTATTGTTGCGACGGATTATCTGACCCGTTATGCCGAGACAAAGGCTATCCAGAGAGGTACAGCAGCGGAGGTGGCAAGATTTTTCATCGGGAAGGTTGTACTGAGGCATGGTGCACCAACCGTCGTGATCACAGACAGAGGAACCGCATTTACGGCAGCTCTTTTGGATCGCGTCCTGATGGTGAGTGGAACAACGCATCGTAAGACCACCGCCTACCACCCACAAACGAACGGGCTGACAGAGCGTCTAAACAAAACCATTGAAGACATGTTTTCGATGTATGTAGACGTTGAACACAAAAATTGGGATCAAATCTTGCCATACATAACGTTTGCGTACAACACGGCCAAGCAAGAAACGACCCACATGACCCCGTTCAGCCTCGTTCATGGACGAGAAGTACGAACCATGTTAGATGCGATGTTATCGCACGAAGGTGACGAGACCGACACGGACACCGACACTTGTACGAAGAAGCGAAGAAGTGCGGAAGAAGCTAGGCAACTTGCATGTTTACGAATCCGCCAGCAGCAAGAGTATGATGCAGGCCATTACAATGCTTACCGCAGAACAGTCGTCTATCAAACCTGCGACAAAGTATGGGTTTGGACACCCGTACGAAAACGAGGACTTTTCGGAAAGCTCTTAAGAAGATACTTTGGGCCATACTGAGTGCTGCAACAACTGAATAATGTCACTTACGAAGTCGATCCCGACCGTTGTGTAGTACGAGGCGTCGCCAGCACCATCCCGTAATCGTTCTCGTAGTGCGCATGAAGCCTTACGTCAGCCAGTGATTGCGTGAGACTTGAAAAAAAAAAAAAAAGCTGCATTATTGACTTCGCATCGGGTCGATGCTCTTTGAGAGGAAGGCAAATGACCCATGTCTACATGTGGATGAAAACGATGATGGGCGGATTTAGTGGACACCAGGTAGTGGGCCTCTGGGTTTACTCGAGAATGAAGAAGGCAATCTTGCGGCTCAGCTGT